AAATGTCACATTCATATTGTTAAGATTAAAAGAAGAAATGGATGTAAGGCACTTAGCCTGTGCTCGGCCCACAGTGACTTCGCAACAACGGTCAGCGTCACCAGTGTTGTTATGTAACTTGCGTTTCTCTTTCATTTAACAGCACACCATGGACACAGTTCCATATTGGTGCCAAAGATGTAGTCCACTCCTTTGGACAAATTCAGAGCTTTCCTTGTATGTGTGAGTCATCATTATTTATTGGCCAATTTTATTATGGTGTAATTTACATCTAAAAAAACATCCATTTTAAGAGTTCAGTTCAAGGACTTTCAAAAAATCATGCCGTCTTGTAACCACCACCAGACTCAAGATCTAGAACATTCCTGTCACCCTAAAAGTTCCATCATGCCCCTTTGTAATCAGTCCCTTGTCCCTACATCCAGTCCCAGGCAACTCTGAAATGTGTCCTGTCCCTGTAGCTTGGATTTCCCTTTTCCATTTTATTTAAATTTCATTTAAATGGACTCATACAGTAGGCACTCTTTGGGGCAAGGTTTTTTCACTCAGCGTGATGTTTCTGAGATAGAAACCCTTACTGTGTTGCCAGTAGTTGACTGCCTTTCATGGCTGAGGAGTGTTTCATTCCGTGCTGTGCCCATTGGTATGTCCCTGTGCGTGTTCACAGACATTTGGATCATTTCTAATTTGGTGCTATGAATCCCTTATTTTTTAAACTCCAGTGAGGAAAGACATTGACACTCTTTCCAAATGTTTGCTGTTACCTTACAGTACCACAATAAGTAGTCATGCACATCTCTGGTTATAACTGCTGGAGGAATGTCATGATACTAGAGGTCCAATAGAAATTTTTTAAAAGATAGACCCCCTTGTTCCTGCTGGGGACCCAGGGACCCAGACATGGCAAGTGACATGCCCAAAATCACCCTGTGAATCAGTTTCCATGCAGAGGCCAGGACTAGGCTCTGCCTTTCACCACCTTTCCCCAGGACTTGCACAAAGCAGGGTGGGCACCCTAATGTTCAAGACCTCAGTGATGACCCTGACGACAGTGGTGAGGGTGACAGTGATGTGGTCACAGTGTTAACTGCCAGGACAGCATACTGGGCCACATTCTAAGTACTTTGCATGGACTGACTCACTTTAATCAATGCAATATCCCAACAAAGGAGGTAAAATTATTTTTCCCTTTCTCTAGTAAAGAAACTGGGCACAAAGAAGTTAAGCATCTTGCCTGAGGTTGCAGAGCCTGGAAGTGGCAGAGCTGAGACTCATACCAGACAATTAAATTCCAGAACAGCCACGTGGAAAGCACAAGCACAGGAGTCCCTGCCGAGCAGGAAAGGGGGTGTGGCACAGGTACAGCCTGCATGAGATGCCAGTGGCTAGAGTTTTTGTCCCCACCTTGCTGTGTAATGTGGGCAGACCTGTGACCTGTCCGTAGAGGTTCCTCACCCACCAAAAGGGAAGGGGGGCAGTCTGGCAAGATGGTTCTCAGGGCCCTTTGGCAATGTGGCTCTAGACTGTTTTCTAGAGCCAGGATGACCAGAGTAAAAGGATCTAGAGAGCATGGCTCCACTCCCTGAAAAAGGGCAGGAGAGGCAGACAGTCTGGTGGCCTTTCTGTGCTAAAAATCAGAGGCCTGGTCTCAGCCCCCAGTGCCTTGCCGCTGACCCTGAGTGAGGGATCTGGCCTCTATCTCCTGGGCAAAGAAGGCTGGACCCCCATCACACCATACCTCACTGCTGGCTTGGACAATAGAAATCCACGGAGTCGAGAGAATCAGTCTATGCCCACCTCCTGGGAACAACATGCTCCTAGTCTCAAAGCCCCTTCTTTGTCCTCCAGGCCACCCATCTTTTTCCTCCTGTGCCCCTACCTTCAGGACCCATGTTAGTACTGCCTCCTGCCTCTCCCCAGTTTCAGCAAAACCATGTCCATGGCCCTGTTCTCAAATTTATACCAATTAAAAGATGTAAGCTATATATAACATTCATTCAGCAGCATTATAATTTACATGAATTAACATTTAATCCTAACAACTCTATGATGTAAATAACATATTATCACATTTTACAGAGGAAGTATGTGAGGCTCAGAGACGTTGAGTGCTTTGCCCCATGTCACTCAGCATGTACAAGGCAGAGCCAGGATGTGGGTCTGGTTTTTGAGTCCGTAATCTTAATCACCACACTACCTCTCCCCCGCTCTTCAGGGCACGTCAGAACCTGTAACTCCTTCCTGATCCTATCCTCCTACAACATCTCTCCATGAAGCTAGGGGCTGGAATGCAGTGTTGCTGTTAAGAACACAGTTCCCCAAAGTCAGTGGTCTTGGGTTTGAATCTTGTGATCACCACTCACTAGTTCTGTGTCCTTGAGGAAGACTTATAACCTCTCTGAAACCTCACTTTGCTCATCTTTAAAATGGGAATGGCAAGAGGATCCACCTTACAGAGTTGCTGTAAAGATTAAATCAATAGTTTAGACCAGTGGTTCTCAAAATATGGTCCTGGGCCCCCTGAGGATCCCCAAGACCCTTCCAGGGCATCCATGAGGTCAAATTATTTTCATTGTAAGACCAAGACTTATTTGCCTCTTTAACTCTCATTCTCTCATGAGTGTATGGTGGAATTTTCCAGAAGCCATGTGTCATGATATCTTACAGCAGATTGAATACAGAAGCAGATATGAGAATCTAGCTGTCCTCTACTAAGTCAGACATTAAAGATATTGGGGAAAATATAAAACAATGCTACTCTTCATACCAATTTTTTTGTTTTTAAAAATAAGTTTACTTTTCATAAAATAGATTATATTAGAATGTTTACTGGTATTTTTGCATTAATTTTTATTACATGTCTCAGTTTTAATTTCTAATAGAGTAAACATTGCTAGATATAACCACCATAAATGAAAGGGCTTTGAGGTTGTCAGTAATTTTTAAAGAATATAAAAAGAGGTTCCTGAGACCAAAAAGTTTGAGAATGGCTAGGTGAACACAAGGTACTAGCTACATTTGCATAAGGAGGCCTCTTGACCTTGAGCTTGCTAAAACACATCATTCTCTTTCTCCAGAGCGGTGTCTCCCTCCTCTTCTTGCCTCGCTGGAGGTCACCGCTAAACCACAGGTGGCTGAACACTGGCCAAGAGAGAGACACACGTCAGACCTTGGTGCCGATTCTCCCATGGCTGATTGCTACGTGACTCTGGACCAGACCCTGGATGCTCTGGGCTTCAGAGAATCTTCACCTCTTCACCTGAAGGACAGGCAAGGTTAGCCAAGCAGATTTCTCAGGCACCTTGAACTGCTAACATGTGAAGGAAGTGTGAATAAATCCTAAATCTGCCAGTCTCAAGGTTGGAGCTTGGTAGCCACCAGTAGGAATGCAGCAATTTCCCCCCAGCCTGGGGAGGAGAGATTCACTATGGCATCATCAAGAGACAGGATGGGAATGTGCGAAAAGCTGGGCAAGGGGGTCACCTGATCTGGGTTCCTAGACCCTGCAAACACTCTGGGATGTAGGACCTGCAGCCTCATGCCCCCTCAGTTATGGCATCTGTGAAACAGGAAGGTTGTATTCTTGCTTGCTGATGTGCTGGCTGGAGTTCGGGGGTACCTCAGCCTGCAGACCTCCTTTCCCTTTGTCTTCCTACCTAGGAGGAGGCAGGGTGCAGAGGAGAGAACCCCAGGCAGGGTGAGCTCTGCAGCCTTATCCGGCTGCTAACATCTTGGGTGACCTCGGGCAAGCCTGTTCCTCTCTGAGTCTCAGCTCCAGGAATTTAAAACAGACATAGCCTGGTCAAACTCAGAGTCTGCCTGCCCTGCGAATCTGATAGTTGGTTGGGGATTTGGTGACACTAGACTCTCAGGACCTCATATCCCAGACTGAAATGTCATCCCAAACCTCCTTGTCCTTCTCCAGAGGCCAGGCCATTCCTGAGTCATTCAACAAACCTTCATTCAGCACCTACTATCACCAAGTCACAGGGCAGACTAAAGCCCAGATATTTTCAATTTTCTGTATTCCTTTCCACTTAATCAGGATTCCAGTAATATTTATTTGGGGCTAAGGGCTGCACTACAGATAAGAGAGGAACGAAGTATGGTCCTTTGTCTTCCAATGAGCCTGGAACCTCACTGGGAGAGGAATTTGTTCATTCATCATTCATTCAAGAAAAACCTACTAAGTACCTTCTCTGTGCCAAGTCCTGTGCAATGAACAAAAAAGGCACCCGCCTAGCCCTCACAGAAAGTACAGTTTAGCAGAGAAAGCGGACATTAAACAAATAAAAACACAAGTATAGGTATTATTATATAATCTGATGACTTACATGAAAAAAATGGTATGAGATGGAATAACAAGAAATCTTTCAGTGGGGATTGTGAACAGTTGTTAATAACACAGACCTTGAGATATTAGAGTCTACTTTCTTATAATGAGAAGTCTGGAGGTGTTGGCTGCTGGTATTGGTTCAACAATTCAAGTATGGAGGTCTCTGTTGTACCTCATGTTCCCAATATGGCTGCTGGAGTGTCAGCTTTCACGTTTGTATTCCAGACATAAGGCAGGAAGGATGAGAAAGCAAAGGGGCATATCTTGAATCTCTATCTCCCTTTTAAGGAGTATTCACAGATGTCCACACAACCTCTGCTTATATCACATTGACCAAAACACAGTTACATGGCCACATCTGGCTGGAAAGGAGGCCAGCAAATGAAGAAATGAGCTGGGCATCCTGAATGAAAATTAATTCTATCAGAAGAACAAAAAGGAGAAAGAATATTTGTAGGTATATTAGTTTCTTGTTGCCACTGTAACAAATTACTATAGGCTTAAGGGCTGAAAACAACACACATTTATTCTCTCACAGTTCTAGAGGCCAGAATTCCAAAATCAGTATTATTGGGCTGAAATTAAGGTGTTGGGAGGGAGCTGGACTCCCTCTGAAGGTTCCAGAGAAGAATCTATTCCTTGCCTCTTCCAGGTCCTGGTAGCTGCTGGCGTTCCTTGACTGGTGGCCAAGTCTTCAAGGCAAGTATCTTCAAATCCCCCTGCTTCATCTTCACACTGCCTTCTCCGCTGTGCATGTGTCAAGTCTCCTTCTGCTTCTCTCCTGTAAGGACACAAGTGATGGCATTTACGGCCCACCCTGATAATCCAGGATAGTCTTCCCATCTCAGGGTCCTTAAGTGAATCACACCTGCAAGTGCATCATCTTTCCCAAAGAAGGTAACATCTCCAGTATCCAGGGATTAGGTAGGGCCTGATACCTTCAGGGGCCATTTCTCAGTCTACTAAAGTAGATAACATGAGGTTCTTCTCCCAGGCACTTCATTTAAACCAAGGGGTCAGTGAAGGCATCTTCAAAGAAGAGATACTGTACCTAAGATGGAAAGGATGCATAGACGTTAGCTTGGGGAAGAGAGTTCTAGAAAGGGAACAGCATATGCGAACCTGAGGTGAGAAAGAGCTTGCCATGTGGCCAGTGGGGCTGGAAAGGGGTGGAGAACAGTGGAAAAATAGGAACTGGGACCCAAGAGACTGGAAGCGGTGGCAGGGATTTTTGTCTTTGTTCTATTTTTAAAAGATCATTCAGGCAGCTGTGTAGAGACTGAGGCTGTTGCCATAATCCAGGCAAGAGATGGTGGCAGCTTGGCCAGGACCATAACTGGGAGTTGAAAGCAGTGGTCAGAGGAGGCACAGGGCTTAGTGATAAAATTGGATGGGGTGGGGCTGCACCCTTGATATAGGACCACAGGAGTCAAGGTTCTTTCAAAGCACTAAAAATAAAAAATCCAGAATCCTGTAATTCTACAGTTGAATGTGAATGTAAAGGTCATTTTCCTGTTGGAGGAACTGTCCCAGAGAGGGACCTTGCCTCCCCTGACCATGGTTAAAGAAGAGAAGGGTACAGATGTAAATTCACTGAATGATTCAAAGAGGAAGAGGCCAGAGTGGGCCCCTGGAGTCCTGAGAGGCTTCCTGGAAGAGGTGGAAATTGATCAAGATCTGGGTAGAAAAAGGGAAAGGATGTGGGCACACATTATTGCATTCAGCCATTAATAGCACTTCATTTTTTCCAAGTTTCAAATATTGCCTTTTCTTTCCAGCCTGGGAGCATTTGGGGCAGAGGATGTATTTGAGTCTGTTTACCAAACCCTGGAGACGTGTGTAGGGCAAAGCAGATGTCCTTGGACAATCCATCCCGTTTCTGAGCCTCAGTTGCTCTATCTTTGAAATGAAGTAATAACAGTGCCTATGAGATTCAGTGGGGTAAAGAATTAGACCTAGGGGCAGCTTTAGCAAGAAGCTAATAAAGCTTAAACTTCAGGGCCCCTCGCTTGCCCTGCCACTTCCCCTGGGAGGGGCCCTCAACACAGAGAGCAATGGGTATGCAGCCAAAAACCTAGGACAAAATAGAGGTGTGTCAGGCAGTTAATAAAAATGTTATTTATGTGAATTTTATGACTGCATGGAATTGATAGTTTAAAAAAATTTGTAATTTGCTGTGGTTTCTTTTCACATGCTAAGTAAACATTCATGTTTGCACTAGCTACGTATTTATAATTTTTCATTTTGCACCCTTTTTCCTAAAGAAGGCCTCTAAGATGGTGTGAGTTCAGGCTTCAAACCTGCCCCTGTGGGCCCCGTGGCATGTGCTGTCCTAATCTGCCCTTTGTGGACTGAGAAGGGCATGTCGTTTGCAGCCTCACCTGATCTGGAGCCAGAGCCGTGAGCAAACGGCAGATGCCTGGGGCATTTGCTCTGTCCACCTTCAGACTCTTTCCCCAAGACTGAGCTCTGTGAGGGCAGACATGTCTTCTTGTCCCTCACTGGACCCCCAACACTCCCCACAGCACCCGGCACATGGTAGGCCTTCAGCCCCAGGAGGCGAATGAATGAAAGTGTGGTGAATGAATCAAGTGTGCCGCTGCCTGATTTCTGAGAGACAGTATGTGGGCAGGTTGGCCTGAGCTTTCCCAGGGATTGCTGGTCAGGGTGGACCCTGACCAAGGCTCCTAGGGGATGATTCAGAGGGAGGATGAGCTGAGACAACCTTGGCTTTGGCTGATGAGGAGAACAAGTTCTACCCATCTCTGTGCCACCAAGTACCTCCCAGAGGAGACTTCTCTGGTCAGGGCCATCCCACTCCTGACCACATGCCACTGGGACCTGAGCAAGAGCTCCCTTTGTCTCCTGACTCTGGACTGGACTTCAAAGCCACTCACTGGTTCTCAGGTTGGGCAGAGAGCACATTGCTTGGGAAGTGAAGTGAGAACTGACATAGGCTGCTTAACCTCTCTGGACATCAGGTTCCAGGAGATGTGTGACTCTGAGCAGCTTACTTCACCTTTCTGAACCTCAGCTTCCATGTCTGTGAAATGGGGCAATAGTTGTATCTACTTCACAGGGTTATGGTGATGAGTAAGTGGGATAAACCCTGTATGGCATGTAGCACAAGGCTTGGCACATAGTGAGGGCTCAATAAATATCGTTTATCTTTATCCCTTCTACTTATTATTCCCAAATGCCAGTCTGTGGAAGTATTTTTTTATTCAAGTGAAGTAAGAAAAACTAATATGGGTGGAAATCTCCATTTTTAATCTCCATTTTCTTCCATTTATCTTTTTTCCTAAATTCCCATTAATGTATTACTTTTATAATAAAAGAAATGGAACACCAGGACTAAAGGTGGTTGCGTGAGAGGTGAGATAGAGTCTTCCTCCTAAAACCACATATAATAAGAAAATATAATTAATACAACTAATCCAGAAAGAGCAACAGGAAAGAGGGCTGTGCCAAACTGCATAGACCTGGAGAAGAGAATAAACCTCATGGAACAGGGTAATGTACCAAAGCCATGATTTGGTGGGACCCAAGCCCTTCTCCCACCCCAGCGCACTGGCAGGAGGAAGAGAAATGGAGCAGGGAGGGAGTGGAGGCCTAGGACTGCTGAACACCCAGCTCTGGAGATCTGCTCTGGGAGTACAAACCTACATTACATGGTGCTCTCATGATTAGGGGGATTGGAAAGCTAAGACAGGCAGAATATCTGGAGAGACTGAGATTACAGTGCTTGTAGAAAACAGGGACCCATAACCAGCTGCTTGGGGACAAAAGAAAGGCAGGCAGTCTGAGAGACTTCCTAACAGCGAGAGGGCTGCTAAAGGGGCAAGGATTGCACAGAACTTACTGCTCAGGAGAAAAGACAGGTAGACAAAATTGTCTGGGTGCACTCTGCCCAGCCCAGCAGAACTTTCAAGATCTTCAGGTGCTCCAGCCCCCTGGCTGGCTACGCAGCTCCAAGGCTCCCCCCACCCATGATACACAGACTGCTGTGCCTTCCTCCTGGACAGCCTGCACCTGGCTCACAAACTGGCAAACTCTGCCCCGGCATTAGGCCAGTCAGAGGGAGGCCCCGCCTACAGCAGCTACAAATGCAAAGAAAGCATGGAGGCTAACACCTGTGTGCTCGGCCCACTGGCTCTGGCAGTGGAGACAGGCATAGCAGCCAGAAAGCAGGAACCAGCTCTTTCGTCCCCTCAGGTACCAATACTGCTCCCCTGTGACCCTTGACATTGCACCAAGGGCTGAGCAGCTCCAGAGAGTAGAGCTTCTGGGCAGTAGAGGGCATCACATACAAATATGAAACATCAAAGGAACCTCGTTCAAAACAAAATTATAAAAACACCAGAGAAAGAGTCAAATGAAATCAACCTCATGAATCCTCCAGAAAGGGATTTCAAAATAAAAATCATAAACATGCTCATGGAGGTACAGAAAAATATTCAAGAACTCAGGAATGAATTCCAGTCAGAGATCCAATCATTATGGAACACAGTATCAGAAATGAAATATACAATGGAAGGTTCTAAAAGCACATTAGATAACGTGGAGACAATAAATGAAATAGAAATTAGAGAAGAGGAATACAAAGAAGCGGAGGCACAGAGAGAAAAAAGGATCTCTAAGAATGAAATAACTTTGAGAGAACTGTGTGACCAATCCAAATGGAACAATATTCATATTATAGGGGTACCAGAAGAAGAAGAGAGAAAAAGGAATAGAACATGTCTTTGAGGAGGTAAATGCTGAAAACTTCCCTAATCTGGGGAAGGAAATAGTCTCTCAGGCCATGGAAGCGCACAGATTCCCAATACAAGGGACCCAAGAAAGACACAACAAGACATATAATAATTAAAATGGCAAAGATCAAGGAAAAGGACAGACTACTACAAGCAGCCAAAGAGAGAAATAAGATCACATACAAAGTAAAGCCCATCAGGCTAACATCAGACTTATTAGCAGAAACCTTACAGGCCAGAAGGGAGTGGCATGATATATTTAATGCAATGAAGCAGAAGGGTCTCAACCAAGAATACTTTATCTGGCAAGATTATCATTTAAATTTGAAGGAGGGATTAAACAATTTCCAGATAAGCAAAAGCTGAGAGAATTTACCTCCAACAAACCATCTCTACAGTATATTTTGGAAGGACTGCTATAGATGGAAGTGTACCTAAGGGTAAATAGCTGTCACCAAAGGTAATAAAACCACAGTAAAGTAATAGCATACTAAGTGAGTAAAGTTAGACTCTTAGTAAGGAAATTAACCTTGAACCTTTGGTAACCACGAATCTAAAGCCTGCAATGGCAATAAGTACATACCTATTGATAATCACCCTAAATATAAATGGTCTGAATGTACCAATCAAAAGACATAGAGTCACTGAATGGGTAAAAAAACAAGACCCATCTATATACTGCCTACAATAAACTCATTTCAAACTCAAGGACATACACAGACTGAAAGTAAAGGGATGGAAAAAGATATTTCATGCAACTAATAGGGAGAAAAAAGCAGGAGTTGCAGTACTTGTATCAAACAAAATAGACTTCAAAACAAAGAAAGTCACAAGAGACAAAGAAGGACATTATATTATGATAAAGGGGTTAATCCAACAAGAAGATATGACCATTATAAATATCTATGCACCCAACACAGGAGCACCTACATATGTGAAACAAATACTAACAGAATTAGAAGGGGAAAGAGAATGCAATGCATCCATTCTAGGAGACTTCAACACTCCACTCACTCTGAAGGACAGATCAAACAGGCAGAAAATAAGTAAGAAGACAGAGGCACTGAACAACACATTAGAACAGATGGACCTAACAGACATCTACAGAACTGTACACCCAAAAGCAGCAGAATACACATTCTTCTCAAGTGCACATGGAACATTTTCAAGAATAGATCATATACTAGGCCACAAAAAGAGCCTTGGTAAATTCAAAAAGATTGAAATTGTACAAACCGGTTTCTCAGACCACAAAGGTATAAAACTAGAAATAAAGTATGTAAAGAAAATGAGAAAT